TATTGGGGATCAAACCCGCAACCTGGGTGTATGCCCAGACTGGAAATCGAAATAGTGACCTCTTGGTTCATAGGTCAATGCTCAACCGCTGAGCCACACCCAGCTGGGCTATTCTATTTAAAGAACTCATTTTCCCAAAGTACCACCTTCCTACTGATTGCTCAGGGTGGTAAGTGCTTCCATCATCAGATTTTTGAATGCCTAACTTCTGCCCCCAGTTGGTTCACAAGGTAGCCTTCTGGACTCCATTTCCTTCTTCCCACACATTGACTTGTTAACTGATTGAATGTCTGTCGTTTATTAACTTTGGGATCCTGAGCAAATGATTTACCACTCTCCCTCAGTCTCCTCACCTGTAGAATGGAGACAATAGAAGTATCAATCTCATAAGGTTGTTGTGAGGATTAAATGAAGATGCTTAGTATACAGTAAGCATCAAATAAATGGTTGCTAAGTTGTTGTTCTTTTATCCCAACAGCCTCTCACCTTGTCTTCTCTTTAAGGGGCTGTATTAGTTAGCTCTTATTGAATAAAAAATCTTCCCCAAACTCAGAAATTTGAAACAATTGCTCATGAGTCTGTGGGCCAGCTGGGTGGTTCTGCTGATCTGAGCAGGCTTGGCTAATCTCTACTGGGCTGATTCATGTCTCTTTAGTCAGCCAGCAAGTCAGCTGGTGGCTCGCAGGTCTAGGATGGCCTCATTCACATGTCTGGCAGTTGGCTGGCTTTGGGATGACGGGGCCATGAAGCTCAGCAGTGTAGCCTGGGCTTGTTTTCACAGCGGAGGCAGTGTGCTAAGAGAAAGAGCGGAAGCATGCAAGCTCTCTCGGGGCCTGGATGTGGAAGGTACACTGTTATTTCTGTGGCACTCTATCGGTCAAAGCAAGGCTGGTTCAGACCCAAGGATTCGGGAAATATACTTTTTAGATGGTGGAGCTGCAAAGTCTTATTATAAAGGGTGAGGATAGAGGGAGGGATGAGGATGCCAGCTTTGATATCAAACTGCCATGAGAGCATTGGCGCCTGACGTGGAGAGTTCACTTGTCAGGCCCAGCCGGTGTGGCTCAGTGATTGAGTCTTGACCTACGAACCCAGAGTTCACGGTTCGATTCTTGGTCAGGGCACATGCCTGGGTTTCAGGCTCCATCCCCCACAGAGGCCGTGCAAGGGGCAGCCAATCAATGATTCTCTCTCATCATTGATGTTTCTCTCTCTCTCTCCTTCTCCCTTTCTCTCTGAGAACAAGAAAAATATATTTTTGAAAAGAATATACTTGTCAGTTGAGGGACTGAAACTTCGGGTTAACTACTCTATCTACCTCCCCAAACTTCAGTTTCCTTACAAGTTGTCGTGAGGATCAAACAAGGCAGGGAAGGTGCTGAGCATGTGAAGTGTGCCAGGCGCACACACAGAGGGAATATTCATTCTCAGAGCACAGGGCTCATCCTGGGCTCTGCGGAATCCTGCCCCCGCTTCCCCAGACCAAGAAGGCTATGGAAACCAAGCCAAGCAGGAGCATGACTTCAGATGGGGAACCATGAAATGGCAATTACAGAGTAAAGCTTAATTACAGTTCTTTGGGGGAAAAGAAGTGAGGAATGCAACCGGGTGGACAGAAGGGTGGAGACTGGGGGTGAGGGTCACGGGGAAGGGAAGAGAAAGAGGGAGGCCCAAGAGGGAAACGCTGAGCCATTGGAAAGGAGTCTCCCCTCACCCCCTAAAAAAAAAAAATGTTAACGACATTTTTATTTTTCATTGTTGTTTTGATTACAAAATTACAGTGTGTTCACTTTATAAAGTTTAAAAAATACATAGCCCGAGGAGATTATGCCAAGTAAAATAAGTCAGATAGAGAAAGACAACTATAAGATTTCACTGAAAGGAGAATATAAAAACAAACGTAGATACGGAGAACAGGTAAGGTGGTTACAACAGGCATCCTTTGTCCTTTAGTTTTGTTTTGGAATTTTCTGATTGCATCCTATGGTGTCATTTCACACGTTCCTCTGTCCTATAAACTAGTAGCTTTTAAAAATGCACATGTCCAGACCCCACCCTGAAAATGTATTCAGTAGGACTGGTGTGGGTGCCGGAAATCTCTGACTTTCCTCAGATCTCTAGGTGAGTCTGAGGCTGTTTGCCTCATATTTGGGAACTGCCAACCCATCTGACGCTGCCAGTAGCCACAAGTCAGCCTTGGTCACAGCAAGCATCAGAGACAGACACTAAGTTTCTAATCTCCAGTGCTGGGCGGCGGGCGTGCTCACTGCAGGAAAAGGCATTAGCTGTGTTTTGTGGGTTAACCGAGACTCACAGTGGGAACTTTCTGGGAGCCCCAGTGAGTCTGCCTCTTTCCTCTAACCCAGGTTAGGGAAATTTCTTTTATTTTTTAAAAAATATTTGATTTTTTAGAGAGAGAGGAAAAGGGGAGAGAGAGAAACATCCATGTGAGAGCACAACATTGATCTGCTGCCTCCTGAACACCTCCTAGCAGGGATCTATCCCACAACCCAGGCACCGTACCCTTGACCTGGGAATCAAACCTGCAACCTCCCGGAGCATAGGATGGTGCCCAACCAGCTGAGCAATGCCGGTGAGGGCTAGGGAAAACTTAAGTGATCAGGACCTGCCTGGCCTTGAAGGTATGTTTTGGGGGATGAACAACAACAGTTTTGCTGTTATGGCCCCTGAGGACAAGTGTGCTGTCCACAGGGTGGGTGACTTCACTTGGGCCGGAGGGCCACAGCTGCTGAGGCAGGTGGGCCTGGGACACAGGCCCAAAGTCTGTGCTCTTTCTTGTCTGCTTTATCCCCTCCCCCCACTCCCCAGCACCAACTGTCCCCTTAACCGCTGAGACGTCCCACTGGTAACAGCCAGCACCTCATGCCCTGCACAGCAGTCAGAGTGATCTTCCCATCGTCCTCATCAGATCACTTTACGACCCTGTTCTAGTCCACCCATGTCTGTCTCCCATCACACTTGAGAACCACACTCCTGCCCTGCCTGGTTTGGCCCAATGGACTGAGCATCGGCCTGCAGAATGAAGGGTCACAGGTTCGATTCCGGCCAAGGGCACATGCCAAGGTTGCAGGCTCAATCCCCAGTAGGGGGCATGCAGGAGGCAGCCAACCAATGATCCTCTCTCATCATTGATGTTTCTCTCTCTTCCCTCTCTGAAATCAATAAAAATATACTAAAAAAAAAAAGAACCACACTCCTCACCATGGTTGACAAAGCTCACTGTAGTCTGGTCCATACCCACTTCTCCCATCACATCTTCATTCTTTTCTCTTTCCTCCCCGGCCACCCTGGCTTTTCTGGTGGCCCTAGAACAGGTGGCCTCATTCCTATCTCAAGGTCTTTGCATTTGCCACATCGTCCTCCAGGAATACTCTTCCTCCAGCTCCCACACGACCCGCCATTCACATCTCCACTGAAAGTCCACCTCAAAAAAGGTGACCACTTTGTGTAACGCAGCACCCTCTCATCACATTCTCTTTTCCTATTTCTTGATAGCAATTAACATTATTTGAAAGTATATTGTTGACTTGTTTGTCTCTTTTGTTTGTGGATGCCTTGAGGGGAGGGGCTTCAATCATCTCAGTCACCAAAATATCCCAAGGACAAGCCTCTACACAGCACTCGCGCGCGCGCGCACACACACACACACACACACACACACACACACACACACACACACGGAAGTACTCATCAGTTTCCGTCTGAGTCCAGCCTCAATTTACACGCGTGTCATTGCAGGAGCCACACAGAAGCTGCACCCAAGGGTCCTTTTTAGAGGCAGAAGGTCTTGCAGGACCAGGTACCCCACATGGGAATGTACTTCAAGGGAACAGAGAGGTTCAGGGCTTCGCATTGGACAACTGATTTCAAGTAAAACACTGGCTTTTATAGAAAATAATTTTATTGATCAGTAAGGGACCCCACTGAGGACAGAGAGGGAGTAAAAAAGCAGATGAGCCATGGAAGGAAGGGGTTGGTGCTAAACACACACTTCCTGAAAGGTTAACACCTGGTGGTATGCGGGCAGGCAAAATAGCCATCTCAGAGGATGGATAAAGAAAAACTGAATTTATTTAAGAAAAGGGCTGCACAGCACTGAACCAAGAGGCCACTGGGTCGATGGTGGCAGCACCAGCAGCTGGAGTTTCATCCCTACCTGGTATATGCAGTCACTGGCGGGAAGCTCTTGTCGTCAGTCAGTGGGCCTTGGGGCTGAGTTGATGGCTTAGAATCCCAACGGAATGCGGATGTGAGGTGTTTTTAGGCCAGTTTTAACCCTTTAGATGATGTCCAGCAAGTTTTCCTGGTCTTGGTCCTCCTGTGGCAGGAAGTTGGACAAGTCTTCCTGGTCACTGTCCTCCTATGGTGGTAAGCCTACAAAGGGCAGTGAAGGATTACGTTGTCCTATAGTCCTAACACTTTCCAGGAAGCAGGACTTCCTAAGTCTGCCTATTCCATTCCTGGGACCCCAGACTGAAGGTTCCCTGGGGTATCACAGGCTGCTTCTTTCAGTTTCAAGAAGCCTCCCAGTTTGTGCTGGTGGCTGCTGGCAGTGACTCAGGGAAGGAGCCCATCTGGTAGACGGGGTGGGCCCCTGCTAAGGTCACGCTGCATCCCCTCTTTGCTCCTGGATCCTACTGGGCTCACAGAGGGCAGACTTCTCTTTCTTCTGCCCAAGAAGGGACTCTAGAGGGTTGAGCAGAGGACCATCAGGTTTTCTGCAGGGTCCACTTCATCCCTGGGATGCTCAGAGCAGCCTCCCATTGGAAACCTCCGTTTCTGAGGCTCCTTGCCCTTGTCTGTTTAGTATGGAAGAGGACTCCTGGCCGAGGAAGGCACAGACAGAATGGCTCAGGTTGTAATCACCAGTGGTGGGCAGTGGGGGTCCCTGAAGGAGAAGGCATTCACTGTCTTAGGCCATTAAACATTTGTCCTCTCCACAGAGTGCCTCAGCCAGCAGGCTTCTGTGGGGTCAGCCTCTAGCCACCCTGCTCCAGTCGTCGAATTTTGGGGCTGGAGCAACCAAGGTCTTCATCTAACCCGTCCGCAGGGCGACATCGCTTGAGTGCTCGTCTGGGGACTGGCTTCTCTGCCTCCACCTTTGTTGGGGTCAGCTTCTGTGGGGTCAGCCTCTTGCTATCATGCTCCAATCGTGGAATTTTGGGGCTGGGGCAACCGAGGTCTTTGTTTGACCATTCCACAGGACGATGCCTCTTCTGTGCTCTTCTGGGGACTGGCTTCTCTGCCTCCACCTTTGCTGGGGTGGCCAAAGGAGCATCCCCGTAGGATCGGTAGCCACCAACCAGGCAGTATGTCTCCCCATGCCAGCCCACTTGGGTTTCGCCCCACCTTTGGTAGGGGACATGGTAGTGACCAGTTGTAGGAGGAAAGGTGGGAGCCATTGCTGCTGGAAAGAAAATCAGAACTGATCAGTTACTTGTGTTGCCAGGATGTCCCCCTCACATGTCTCTCCCAGGTTCTTGCTGAAGCTTTCTAATCTGCTTGGCATCCAAAACACAGCCTTAACCCATCATGAGTCCCCTACAGAAGGGGTGTTGCTGCAAAAGCAATTCTGGGGGGCCTAGAGCAGCAGCAGGAGAACAGAAAATCTTCCCCGTTCTCAGAGAAGACAGACCCCGAAAATAATTGCAATCAGGATCCCCTCCATCTCTCCCACAATAGAGAAAAGATTTTTTTTACAGCCCATCACTTCTGAGGCTTTAAGAAAATGCCTTCCAAATTTTGGGGGGAAATAATATAAATGGGTTTCAGAAGCCCTCCCACCTTGGCAACTCCTCTCAGACTCCATTCATACTGCATTTTATTTTATTTTTTAATGTTTTCATTGATTTCAGAGAGAGGAAGGGAGAGGGACATAAAGATAGAAACATCAATGAGCCCTAGCCCGTTTGGCTCAGTGGATAGAGTGTCAGCCTGTGGGCTGAAGGGTCACAGGTTTAATTCTGGCGGGGCCTCTGGCCGGAGGCCAGGGTGAGGGATGCTGGTGTCATTGCAGGCCAGGCTGAGGGACCCCCCCCGCCCCACCCCGCCATGCACGGATTTCATGTACTGGGCCTCTAGTAAAATAATATTTTTTAAAAAAATAAAATATAGCCCTAGCCAGTTTGGCTCAGTGGATAGAGTATCTGCTTGTGGACCAAAGGATCCTAGGTTCAATCCCGGTCAAGGGCATGCATACCTCCGTTGCAGGCTCCTCCCCAGACCGGGCCCTGGTAGGGCTCATGCAGGAGGCAACCAACTGATGTGTCTCTCTCTCACATCGATGTTTCTATGTCTTTCTCTTTCCCTCTCTCTTCCATTCTTCCAGAAAATCAATGGAAAAATATCCTCAGGTGAGGATTAACAAACAAAAATTAATTAATTAATTAATTAATTAATTAAAAAAGAAAATATATGTCCATATAAAATGTGCATATCAAAGTTACAGCTGCACTACTCATAATAGCCCAAAAGTAGAAGAAAAATACAAATGTTCAGCTGATGAATGGATAAACAAAATGTGGTATATCCATACAATGGAATATTGTTCAGCTATAAAAAAGGAATGAAAATTTTACATGGAAGTCAGATTACAGTGTCCACAAATAAAGTTTCATTGGAACTTTAGGGTCATGGTTTAATTCCCAGTCAAGGGCACATACCTGGGTTGCAGGTTTGATCCCCTGCAGGATTAATACTAGGTGTAACGGTTAATAATTCGGATTTTTTTTCAGTAGATGGAGTTACACATATGATATATATGCAATTTGATATGTATGCTATTTTGTTGTATTGACAACATGCTTCAAAACTTCATATGTCAAATTTTCATAGATATTTTTACACTTAAAAATGTCGAATTTCATGCCAAAAAAAAGAGCATTTGCGGGAAGTTTTAATTCATTACTTTATTTTGAAGTAAAGTGCTGCTGAAAGTTATCGTATACTTTGGGAAGCTTATGGTGAACATGCTCCATCTCAAGATACTTGAGAACTCTAGTTTATACGCTTTAAAAGTGATGATTTAGGCCCTAACCGATTTGGCTCAATGGATAGAGCATCAGCCTGCGGATTCAAGGGTCCCAGGTTCGATTCTGGTCAAGGGCATGTACCTTGGTTGCGGGCACATACCCAGTGGGGAGTGTGCAGGAGGCAGCTGATTGGATGTTTGGATGTTTCTCTCTCATTGATGTTTCCATCTCTCTATCCCTCTCCCTTCCTCTCTGTAAAAAATCAATAAAATATATATATTTTTAAAAAGCGATGATTTCGATGTGAAAGACAAAGAATGTCCAGGTCAACCGAAAAAGTTTGAAGACCAACAATTACAAGCATTATTGGATGAAGATGCATGTCAAACTCAAAAACAACTTGCAGAAAGATTAAATGTTACTCAGAAAACAATTTCCGATCATTTACAAGCAATGGGAAAGATTTTAAAGGAAGGAAAATGGATACCACATCAACTGAACGAAAGAGAAATGGAAAACCGAAAAGTCATCAGTGAAATGTTGCTCCAACGGCACAAAAGAAAGTCTTTTTTGCCTTGAATTGTGACTGGTGATGAAAAGTGGATTTATTTTGAGAATCCCAAATGCACAAAATCATGGGTTGATCCAGGTCAACCATCAACATTGACTGCAAGGCCCAATCGCTTTGGAAAAGAAGACAATGCTCTGCGTTTGGTGGCATCAGGAAGGTGTGGTGTGTTATGAGCTTCTACCAGGTGAAACCATTAATACTGATCACTACCGACAACAAATAATCAGTTTGAACCACGCTTTGATCATGAAACGACCAGAATGTGCCAGAAAACACAGCAAATTATTTTGCTTCATGATGACGCACCATCACACACTTCAAAACCAGTTAAAGACACAAAGATCTTGCCTGGGAAGTATTAACCCGCCCCTGTATTCACCAGGCCTTGCTCCTTTGGATTATCACTTGTTCCGATCAACGGCACACGCACTTTCTGAGCAGCACTTCAAAACGTACAAAGACGTGGACAACTGGGTCTCTGAATGGTTTGCCTCAAAACAAGAAAAGTTCTATTGGGACGGTATCCACAAATTACCTGAAAGATGGGGGAAATGCGTAGCTAGCGATGGACATTACTTTGAATAAAGCAAATTTTGATGTTTCTCTTGAAATTATCGTGTTTTCTTTGATTACAAAATCCGAATTATTAACTGGTACACCTAGTAAAAATCAAGGGGAAAAATATCCTCAGGTGAGAATTAACAACAACAACAAAAACACACTTCCTAAGTAAAGGAAGTCAGAGAAAAATATGGCACCTTGTGTGATTCCACTGTTACAAAATGTCCAGAATAAGCACATCTATAGGAACAGAAAGTAGAGGAGTCATTGCCTAGGGCTGAGGAGCTAAGAAGACTGGGGAGAGGGATGACAGCCATAGCTAAAGGGAATAGGGTTTCTTTGGGGCATGGAAGAAAATGTTCTAAAATTGTGGTGATGGTTACACAACTCTGTGAATATACTAAAACTTGCTGAAGTATACACTTTAAATGGGTGAATTGGGTAATACGTGAATTATATGTCAAAAAAAGCTGTTAAATATTTGGCAATGATACATCTAATAAAGGGTTAATATCCAAAATATATAAGGAACTCATACAACTTAACAAAAGGAAGACAAACAATCCAATTAAAAAATGGGCAAAGGACCTAAATAGACACTTCTCCAAAGAGGACATACAGATGGCCAAGAGACATATGAAAAAAACTCAAAGTCACTGATCATCAGAGAGATTAAATTAAAACGACAATGAGATATCACCTCACACCTGTCAGAATGGCTACCATCAACAAATCAACAAATGACAAGTGCTGGTGAGGATGTGGGAAAAAAAGAACCTTGGTAAACTGCTGGTGGGAATGCAGAATGGTGCAGCCATTATGGAAAACAGTATCGAGTTTCCTCAAAAAATTAAATATAGAATGGCCATTTGACCCAGTGATCCCACTTCTAGGAATATATCCTAAAAAACCCAAATCACCAATCAGAAAGAATGTATTCACCCCTATGTTCATAGCAGCACAATTTACAATAGCTAAGATCTGGAAACAGCCCAAGTGCCCATCAGAAGATGAGTGGATAAAAAATCTGTGGTACATTTACACCATGCAGCAGTACAAAAGAAAAATCTCTAACCGGTTGAGAAGGTATAGAGGGACCTGGAGAGTATCATGCTAAGTGAAATAAGTCAGCCAGAGAAAGACAAGTATCACATGATCTCACTCATATGTGTAATCTAAGTAACAAAATAAACTTACAAACCGAGGGGATTCAGAGACATGGAAGCACGGAACAGAGTGCAGAATCTCAGAGTGCAGAATCTCAGAGGGAAGGCAGGGGAAGGAGAACGGGAAGTAATCAACCAAGAACATTGTATGTATATATGCATGGCCCATGGCCATAGGCAATGGGGCAGTGAGGGCCTGGAAGGGGTCAATGGGGGGAAGATGGGGGGACAGATGTAATACTTTCAACAATAAAGAATTATTTAAAAAAAAAAAACCCACACAGAGAAGAAAGGCAGCAACTCAGTTTTCAAACAAAAAGAGAGAGAGAGAGAGAGAGAGAGAGAGAGAGAGAGAGAGAGAGAGAGAGAGAGAGAGACAAGTATCACAGAATCTCACATATGTGGAATCTAATGAACAAAATAAACTGATGAATAAAATAGATCCAGAAACATAGAAGCACAGAACAGACTACGAAATGTCAGAGGAACTGTCAGAGGAACGGCGGGGGTGGGTGGGAAGAGATCAATAAAGAATTTGTATGCATATGTGCATAACCCATGGACACAGACAATAGGGTGAAGGGGGAGGAGGGGCTGAGGGCAGGCTAGACGGGGGTCAATGGGGGAAGAAGAGGGACTTATGTAATACTTTCAACAATGAAGATTTTTTTTAAAGCTGTTAAAAAGAAACAATAGTATGTGTACTGTTAGCATGTTGACATAACATATAGTTGTTTAGCTTTTCACAAAGTACCTTTCCTCTTGCTGCTTCACAAACAGCCAGGCATTAACTCCTAACTGCTGAGAAAGCCAACGTTCAAAGAACAGACTGATTTGCTCTGGGACACAGGTAACCAATGGTGAGGTGTGCGTGAAATCTAGGTCTTTGGACTCCCTGTCCAGTACTCACCATAGCACAGACCTTCCCAGAATTACAACAGGAAATGGAGAGTCATTCCTCACAGTCCCAGGGAGAGGAGAGACAGGAGGAAACTCCTTCCCAGACCTGTCCCTCCCTGCTCCATTCCCTATCCAGCTTCCTCCTCCCAGCTCCTCCCAGTCCTCCCTCCTTTCCTTCCCAGGACCACAGAGCAAGGCTTCCCCTCCCTATGCCTCACTATGAATGAGGGGAA